ATTTTACATAAAACATATATGTATACATACACACATATATTATGGAATCAAGCACAGGAAATAGAAGATGCATTCAAAAGGATACCATGATTCTAAAAAAGTACTTTTTGGGGGGCCTTGTTGGAGGCCAATGAAGGATCAGAAATGGATGGGAACACTGAGTGGATGGGAGGATAATAATGGATAATAAAGAGTAGACAGAACTGTCTAACTCTTGTTTCCATTTTCTCCTCTGAGGAAAATGATTTTTTGATCCGGAAAGACAGAATAAAAATGGTTACAAGAAGATGAAACCCAAAAATGAGTCATACTCATAAGAAAGTATCTTCTTATTCTCAATGACATCTTGTCAGCAGGTCTAGAGGAACTACATCCTAGAAAACCAGCAGGGCTTCTGGGTCATGTGAATAAGACAGAGGACTAGGCAATATCTCTGATCCTCACAATGTCTCAAACCTCTCCAAAACTGAAATTATGCTCTAAAAATAAAACTTGAGTTGTCTCAATGGTAGAGGATACCCAGAATCCAAAAGAAGGTAAAAAGAACAACAAAAAAACCCCAAACCCCCAATCCATGAACTGATGCTCTCCGACTCTGAGTTCATTCAGCATCTCTCTTACTCCTCCCATGCTAGCCTGCTACTTAGTAGACTCAAGGACCCAAGAGGGGCTTATCACAAAACCCACCTCCAAATCCCAGTGCAACCTCCCCCCTTTTCAGTGCCATGGAGACCAACTCCAGGCTGTGGAAGTTTCCCTGCTGGGATGGATAGTCAGGGCTGCTACAGCCTTTCCTTCAGAAACAACAGCCTTCCAGGGGCCACACAACCTACCAGCTCTGCTAAACTCTGAATGGCCAGTGCCCATGCCAAGAGAAACAACAGCATACCACCAGAGATGCAAGGGCAGACAACCCCATGGCACTAGCATGGCACATCTCTGAACGACCAGTTTTAGGCCAGAGAAAGTAAAGAACAGAAGGAGTGGGATGGGATATCAGGACAGGATACTGTAGGGAGTTGGGGTGTGTGTGTGTGAGAAAAAGGGCACGGTATCTAGCTGGGGTCAGTTCTGACCACTGAAAAGTCATTTGGGGCTGTGACTTAAGTTGGTGAACTATGAATTGTCCAGCCAGAGAGGCTAAGACTCTGAGATCCAGTCCTTAAGGAAACCACCATCAGAGGATTGAAAAGTTAGAAAGTGAATAAGGGAAACTCAGGGGGGAAAAAAAGACAAATTGCCAAAGATCTCAGGAAGAAGAAAATTCAAAGATTTTGAACACAGATAAATCGATAGGGAAAACATAAATAACAGAAGAAAATATGGCCACCAAATCAAGTAAACAAGTTCAGGCATCTATGAATGAATACTGCATAACAAAGGAAAATAATTTAACACTTGATGAGACAGAGGACCCTGCCACATGGGAGAATATGGAACCAGAATACACTGTTCTAGAGTGGTTCAGAAGAAAATGAGAAACATGAGAGCACAATTTATGGTCTGCACAGCAAAAATAACAGGTAGAATAGAAAAACTAGAAACTCTGGTGGCAAGTCTCATCAAAGAAATGAAAGAAAGAATAACAGATTCGGAATGCAAATATACAGAAGTGAGGGACAATCTAGAAGAGAAAACAAAATAACACGAAAAGAAAATCTGCTCACTATGCAAGCAAAGCATACTGATCTCAAAGAAAGGATGAATAGAGACAACCTAAGGGTCATAAGTCTCACCAAAAAAAAAAATTACAGGACAAAAAACTGACACCACAATGCAGGAAATAATGGAAGACAGTAGCCTAAAATTTTGGAACATAGAAAATCTATTATTTAGGAGAAATACATTAGAAAAATAAAGTCATATACAAAATAAAACTGAGAGAATGGAAAATTAAAAAAAAACAAACTTAAAAAAAGCAAGAGTTGTGATCATGCTATTTAACAAAGCAAAAACATACATTTAAAAAAAAAGGATAAACAAGGAAACTTTTATGCTGAAAGGAAACAGGCAACAAACTGTGGTGAGTGAAAGATGAAATGACCAAGGAAACAAAGGTTCAAGCTTTTAAGCATATCCATTTATTAAACAATGAATGCAAACTGCCCAACACATCAGGACCAGTCACCTTCTTCAGCTTTGGCACTGGACCCAGGGGGAGACAGATTTTTATACATTAAAAACAATCAAATAAGATCAATTAATTAAAAGGAAACTATTAACCAGGACACATTCATCTTATTTCTAATTGGAGGAAAGATTAGGGACTTTCCAAATTGACAGGGGGAAGTGAACAGGTGCAATTCCTTGAAATCCTAAAGGTGTCTCCCTCCCCCCTCAAGTGTCTGTGCACAACCAAAGAACAGTGATTAATATGGGGCCAATTTTAAGATAAGACATATGGATTGCTTGAGATGTGTAATTGTGAAAATACCTGCCATCAATCAACCTTTAGATCTGACTGGTCAACATAACCTAGGTCCTCAGTTTAGGATCTCTAAGCAGCAGACAGAAGTAGTCCAGCTTCCTAGCCATATAGAGCTAGGTTCAAACAACACAGTAAGGTCTTCTCCCAATTCCCATTATTGAATGAAGTTTTCTCATAAAACAGAAGTTGAACTAGACTCATAATTGAATAAAGAGAAATGAGCTAGCTCCAGGATTGAGTCACAAGATGGAGTCAGTATGGTTCACTCAATTCCCACAATTAACCACTTGTAATCCTAATCAATTCCCTAAAAACTAATACCAGCAATACACTTACATACTCCAAATATGTTAGCTTCCAGATTTATAAAGGGAAGATTATCTGAACTATAGGACGACACAGACAATATCACAATAGTGATAGGAGACTTCAATATCCCTCTCTCAGTTTTGGATAAGTCTAACATAAAGATAAACAAAAGAGAGAATATGAAACTGAACAAATTAGTGGAAAATTTAGAGTTAAAACACTTCTAAATGGGACAGCAAAAGAATTTACCTATTTTTCAGCACATGTAATTTTTACAAATATCGACCATGTACTAGGGCAGATACTGCAAACAAATAAACATCCTTTACAGACAATAAAAATATGCAATAAAAATAATAATTTGTTCAGGGACAAACAATACAGACCCAAATGGAGTATAAACAATAAAATCCTAATAACAAGTGGGTTGAAGAACAATAACTTTATAACCGAATAAAGGAAGACAACACATAAATGAGGGTGGGAGGGAAGAGAAGGGCATCCATTTGCAGACATGGTGAAGGAGAAAGAGAAGTCCCAGAGTAGTATAGATAAGAAATATGTGAACTAAGCTCCCTCCTTAAATAGAAGTTTTTAAAGTTCATAGCTTTACCTTCTACAGGGGAGTAATAAATCAATCAATAAACATTTATTAGCCAACTTCAATGTGTCAGGCATTGTGCTAAATGTGGGGGATACAAAAAGAGACCAAAACCAGTCCCTGCCCTCAAGAAATTCACAATCTAAAAGGGGAAAACAAATATATACAAAGCAATCTATATACCCGATAAATTTTAAACAATTAATAGAGGAAAAGCTCTAGAATTAAGAGAGGTTGGGAAAGGTTTCCTGCAAAAGATGGGATTTTAGCCAGATTTATAATGCTGATCTTGAAAAATAGTTCCATGTGGTATCTTCTATCCAAGGGAATTTGAAGTGAAGCAATACAGTGCAAAGAACAGGAGCCTGAGGCACTGGTTCTGGCTCTATAACAACCTGTTTAAAGAAGTCACTAGACTTACCCATAAAATCAAGGGCTTAGACTAACAATTCTTTTTACTTCTGAAATTCCAAAAGCCTCCCTATCTTAGCACCAAGCATCAAAAGACCAAAGGGCTTCTCACTTTTCACTTATTTTATATAACAGAACCCTGATGCACTAAATGGAATGGTTGGTAAAAGAGGAAAAATAAACAAAATGACACAATTGGTGGGTGAAATACAGTCATTAAGAAATCAAACAAGTTCACTGATGCGGGTGCCTCAATGAGCTGTGTTAGCCCTGGAAGAGCTGAAAACAGACCTAATCTTGGGGAGTCAAAAGCCACTTGATAAGGCCTGACTTTTGACTTGTCACAGCAGGGGTAGGATGGGGGGGTGGGAGGGAATGCATTGTGTGAACTAGACAATTCTATGATAACAGCTCATAAACTCATAAGCTGGGAGTTCTGTCATCTATTATCTTATGCTGTCTCATGTGCATACTTTTGTCGAGTGAACACTGATAATAAATCAGTATAGTTTAAACTTGATTTCTAATATCTGTATCTACTTTTAAGAAATAGTAATCATTTTAAAAAAGGATTTGTAGGGTAGTTTAGGAGCTAATTCTTGCTACTGGAGGAGGTCAAGGCTGCTGGATCATATAAGTTCACGAGTTCTGAGTTGCAGGGAGGCTGAAGCCAACTGGGTGTCTACACTAATATGGTGAACCCTCAAGAGTGTGGGTCACCAGCTGTCAACTGGCTCTCCCAGAAAAAGGGAGAGGTCAAAAACTTCTGTGCTCATTAGCAACACAATCAGGCCTGAGAGTGGGCACTGTGCTTCTAGCCTGGGTAAGATGGGGAGATGCAGTCTCCTCTCACTCCTTAAAATTAAAATTACGAACTGTGGTTGAAATTTTGGTTTCCAAGCACACATCTTACACTGATCTAAACAACATTCCTATTAATTTGGTACAATTGATTTCCCACAGAATTACATGCCATTTTTTTTTAAATAGCATCCAAAATGGCCTGCTTAGACTTGTACTATCTTGGTTACTTTGATTTTGCTTAGTCTCACATAGCCCTGATAACTGATCTAAATCCTTTACATGAGAAGTATATGGCAGAAACAGAAATGTAAAAGAATTGAGTTAGTCAAATGAGCTATTTCACTCAGTTAAAAAATTGGCTTATTAGCTTTAATGATTATCCATTTCATACTTTTTGTAATATTCAAAACCCCAAATCTAGAAATAAAAAGTCTGGATGACAAAATCTATATTCAAATGTCACCTCTGGTGTTTTATTACGTTAACTGAAGGATTGGAGCTCCAGCAATAATTAATTACAATCAAGCACAGATAAAGATTATATATTCATTTATGAACTGAGCTCCACATTTAAGGTGCTAGTTATATTTACATAAACTGTGTGCATTATAGATATTGTAGCTATCCCCTCTGTATCTTTATTCAACATGTGTTCTGCATTTAGGATTGCAGATTTAAAGTACTGTACAAAGGAGCCTTAGAAATCAAGTCAAAACTTATTTTACAGAAGAAATGGAGAGCCAGAGGCATGAACCAACTTGCTCAATATCACACAAGTAGGGATTCGAAACCAGGGATTCTGACTCAAAATTTAGACACAGTATCACTCAACTTGAATGTCAAATTTTAGGAAATGCAAAATGTCAGATTTGCTTTATTTTAGTTGAAGACTACGAAATTTCCACCGATGGTTCTGAAGGTCGATAACCAATCAAAGACTCTTTATCATTGGCATCTATAAGCATATCTACTAGAACATGAGGTTTATCATACCCAAAAGATGTAACCTTCCTTAGAGTGATGTTGTCTTGAATGTCTGCCCTTGGTTCAGAGTCACTTTGTGTAGGCTCTGGGTCAGATATGAAGTCGCATGATTCCACATGCCTATTCTCAGAATCATCCCTAGGAAGGCAAGAGTTTGAAATGAGACTGCCAGATTCAGCTTGGCTACTGTTAGAATGAAAATAATTCTCTTTCATCATTGTGCTCTGATGACTATCAGAGGTCATTTCAGTAATATTTTCTTCAACAGTCATTTCTTCTGTTATGCTTGATATTTCTTGGAAGTGTTCTGATTTTTCTCTATTGCCTTCAGAATTAATGCAACTTGTTGGGGTCAAATGATCAATGCTTTTTTCCTCACTTCCTGGGATTGCCAAGTATGATGTTTCAACAACAGAAATACATTTCGATTCAGAATTCACCTCTAAAATGTTGCGTGAATTAAAATTTCTTACCACAGAGACCTAAAGGGAAAAAAAATGAGTATGTTAGATGAAAACAAATTCAAATCTCCTGTTCATTCACAAATTAGAGTGATCTAAGGCAATGAAATAAGTTCAACTCAAATCCTAGCCAATCTGTTACTTTAAGATGAACCATGAGCGGAATAAGGGTGAACAGTTTATTTTTGTTATTCAGAATCATACTCTCTACCATCAGCTACTCAAACCACTGTACATGGCACTCATAAATTCTATCCTGGAAATTACACTGTTCCTACAATCTAGCCATATACTTACTAAAGAGCAGAGATATGCAAGGGAACCTTAAGATTTAGATGGTCTAGCATCAGTTCTTAGTGTGGCAGACCTGGATCAGTCCTTGCTCTATAAAATCACCTACTCCTAAGGTGGTCTTATAGATTGAACTTAGTTTCAAACTCTTATGTCTACCAAAATCACTCCATCTCTTCTTTATCAGACACATGAGGAAAAGCAATGAATAAAATTATTACAAACTTCAAGTTCAACATACATCACAGTAAATTTAAATGACTTACCAATGACTTGGGCAATTTGAAGTCCTTTCTCTGAAACACCTTTCTCTTCCAGACCAGGTAAGTTATGAGTATTATACATATAACAAGGGCAATGCATACAAAAATAATTAGCATGGGCAGAGAAGAATCTAAAAAAGAGAAAAGAAACAAGATTAACATGAAGATGGCACAAAGGTACAACAATCTGAATAATTTGCAAGAGTCGTTTAGTTATTTCTTAATATAGTAAAATTTCAATTACTATCATAACATTTAGACCATGCTGGAAACAGTTAAGTGAAGCTACCTTGAAATAGTGAAGAAAAACCCAGAGCTGGGAATGTAAAGTCCTGGGTTCTAGTTCTTGTCACTAACCATATGACCTTGGGCATATTAGTTCCTCATTCTTGATCTCATTGGGGGACAAAGGAAAGGATTTTTTTAAAAAATTATTTTACTCCCAATTACATGTGAAGACAATTTTTAGCATTCATTTTTTAAAAATTTTGAGTTCCAAATTTTCTTCCTCCTTCCCTCTCTCACCACTCCCCTCCCTGAGATGCAAAGTAATTTCATATATAGATTACACATGTGCAATCATGCAAAATATATTTCCATATTAGTCATGCTGTGAAAGAAGACACAGACCCAAAGGAACAAAAACCCATGAAAACAATATAGAAAGTGAAAAACAGTATGTTTAGATCTTCAGACTCCATCAATTCTTTCTCTGGAGGTAGACAGCAATTTTCATCATAAGTCCTTCTCAACTGTCTTGGATCACTGTATTGTTGAGCATGGCTAAGTCTTTCACAGTTGATCATCATACAACATTGCTGTTACTGTGTCCAATACTCTCCTAGTTCTGCTCACTTCACTTTACATCAGTTAGTGTCTAAGTTTTTTCTGAAACCAGTCTGCTCATCATTTCTTTTAGCACAACAATATTCAATTACAATCATATACCACAACTTGTTTAGCCATTTCCCAACTGATGGGCATCCCCTCAATTTCCCATTCTTGGCCAATACAAAAAAGAGCCGCTATAAATATTTTTGTACAAATAGGTCCTTTTCCTTTTTTCAAAAATTTCTTTGAGAGAAAAAAAACAAAAACAAACCTAGTAGTAGTATTGCTAGATCAAAGAGTTTTTTTGTATCACAGTTTTTTATATGCACAGTTTTATAGCCCTTTGGGCATAGTTCTAAATTGCTCTCCAAAATGGTTAGATCAGTTCACAACTCCACTAACAGCACATCAGTGTCCCAATTTTCCCACATCCTCTCCAACATTTATCATTTTCCGTCTCTGCCACATTAGTCAATCTGACAGGTGTGAGGTAGCACCTCAGAGTTGTTTTAATTTGCATTTCTCTAATTAATAGTGGTTTAGAGCATTTTTTCATGATTATTTAATTTCTTCATCTGAAAACTGCCCATTTATATCCTCTGACCATTTATCAACGAGGGAATGACCTATATTCTTATAAATTTGACTTGGTTCTCTATATAGTTGAGAAATGAGGCCTTCATTGGAGACATCTGTTGTAAAAATTGTTTCCTAGTTTTCTGCTTTCCTTCTAATCCAGGCTGTTTTGTTTTTGTTTTGCAAACCCTTTTTAACTTAACATAATCAAAATTATCCATTTTCTATCTAGTAATGCTATCTCTTCTATGGCCATAAATTCATCACTTCTCCATAGATCTGACAGGCAAACTAATCCTTGATTTCCTAATTTACTTATGGTATCACCTTTTATATGTAAATCATGTACCCATTTTGACCTTATCTTGGTATACAGTGCAAGATGCTGATCTATACCTAGTTCCTGCCATCCTGTAAGGAAAGGACTTTAAATGCTTGGAGTTATAATTCTAAGACAGAATTTTATTCTACATGGAGGATTTATGGAAGGACACACAAAAATTACACAGCATCAGAAGGTAGAAAGGTTGCAATCTGCATTAGTGGAGGACTATCCATACCAATAAAATTAAAGATCCATATTAAGGCACTCAATGAACATTTAGAAGGCACAATATGTGGAAGTTCTGGCAGTGTTTATATATTTAGCCATTTGAAAAAGAATTACAATAGACTTCAGAGGTTATGCAGTAAATGGTTTCATTTTTATTTAAATCACTGTGTATTACAGTGTATGGATATGTGTGTTTTCAAATGAGGTCAAAAGTTCTATATTTTATAGGGATTTTAAAAAGAGATATCCCATTATTAATTAAACTGATGATAAATATCTGATACATTTATCTTATACATAAAGTCTAAGTGCCTAAAAAGATACGTTATAAAACTTTCAGGAAGAAGAATAAAGTTTTATTAGTAGAAAACTTGAAGCATTCATCAGTGTGGCCCTCTGGCCTGAATACATCCCCTAAAACAGTATTTCTTTCTTGAGCATTCCAGTTAAACCAGGTTTTACTACACTTTATGGGTCTGAGGGACATTTTTTTTGTATTCAGAATTTCTTCATGAGATAAAATTATTCAGCTGTTAAGCATCTCAAAGCAGAGTTTACCTAAATTTCAAATTAGATCACATCTCTGAAACCTTTCTATAGTTGTTAGTCACAATAATTAGGATTACTGGTAAGATTAATGAAGATTAATGACACATTACCTTCTTCTCTATTAGGATAAGGAGAAGTTGCAATACACTGTTCTTCTGATTTCTCACATGTAATTTGCCAAATTTCACAGTTCTCACAAAATCCTTCGGCAGAAACACAATACTCAGAATTAAATGAAATTGCTGGTATAATTAACTGGCATTGAGTTTCACTGCAAGATTGAGCTTCTTCCTCAGTGATCTGCATGAAAGTTATTAAAATGAATAAAACATTAAAAATTTTAAACAATCATCACACTTCAGTCAATCTAGAGACATGCTGTAGAGAGCATATTCATGTTAAGTATTTACTAATCTGAATAATTTAAATAATTAAGTTTGTAGATGACAAAATTGGAGGGGACTGACAACTAATTGTATAGTCATTATTCAATACAGAAAGGTGGGAATGATATGCTAATAACTGAGTGCCCTGTAAAGGACCAAGACTGTTTGGTACAGCCCCTTGGGCTATCACATTTTTCAATACAACAAAACTTTAGGCACCTTGAAAACATCCAGCCAAGCTGACACTGAACCATTATCAACTATCATGTTATTCAATCAGTCCTAAATCCATCTAATTGTTTTACATTTAGTCAGCAACTTGACATCTTTAGTGCGAATCACATTATCAAATGTCTGACTAAAATCTTTGTATACTCTATCTACAGAATTTCCTTCATCTACCAATCTAATAACCTCAAGAAAGTAAGGTTAGTTTGATATTAATCAATCAACTCCTATGTGTCAGGTAATGGGGACACAGGTACAAAGAACGAAATAGTTCCTACTCAGAGGAAACTTACATTTTAATGGGAAAGACGACAAATACAAACAGTTCTCCTTTTACTTTAAGAGGACAGTTCCAAAAACCTTATTGTAAGGCAATTTTTATGTAATGTGAATTTCCCTGCAGATGTGGGGAAGGGAGGGAGATAGAGAAGGATGTTTACGGACGGAGAGGACAAGCACATGGCTCCAGGATATGTTAGGGCTGGGGACAGAGAAGGGAGAGCAGGAGGAGGAACACGCAGGGGCTGGGGCCAGCCATGTGGGGTGCCTGGCTGCAACCAAGAGGAAGAATATGCTGGGGCAGACACATGGGAGACAGAAAAGTAGTACCCAAGCACAGACAGACCGAAGACCGACATGAGGGGGCTAGACACAAGGGTGGATGGATGGAGTTGGGCAAAGGTCTACTCTTTTTGTGCCAGAGGTATCAAGCCAAGTGGTGGTGGCAGTCTGTGCATCTGTTCTTCTGCTTTCACTTGGAGGGGTTCTTTTTTTTTGGTGGGGGTCAGAGGATGTGGAGGCCACACAGTGCCAAGCAGAGGGAAAGTGAGAGCACAGTACTGTTCAGTAAAGTTAACATAGGTGTTCTTTTGGAATCATGTGCACATGTAGAGTGGTGAGTCTTAGCAAGAAAAAAGGACCACCTCTTTCCCAGAGGCTAAGAGGAGAGAGTGGGTAATGTCATGTGATTTTGAGATGAAGAGAATGGGAGCAACCCAATACAACTGATTTTAATTCCTCAGTGAAGAGTTAGGTCCTTAGCTGAGAGAGGAGAGCTAGGGAAAGTATGGGAACCTTAAGGATGGCAGAGAAGATTTAACCTCCTCTTCATAAAGTCCCTCTGGTTCTTTGTAACCATCACTTCCTTTTCCGGATAACCATTTATTTAATGATCAATTTTATAACTTTCCTAGGAATTGAGGTCAAGTTTACTGACCTGTATATAGTCTAAAGATGCTTCCTTTAAAAAAAAAAAAGGGGGGTGGGTGGGAGGATATTTACCTTTCTTCAGTTCTAGAGTACCATCCTTTTTACATGATCTTTCAGTTACTACTAATAGTGTCTTACCTGCCAGTTCTTTTAGTATTTCAAGGTGCAATTCATCTGGACCAAGTTTTTTTTTTTTTTAAGGCAACTGGGGTTAAGTGACTTGCCCAGGGTTACACAGCTAGTGGGTGTCAAGTATTTGGCCTGAGGCTGGATTTGAACTCAGGTCCTCCTGACTTCAGGGTCGGTACTCCATCCACTGCACCACCTAGCTGCCCCAAAAAGCAGACTCACCTGGTTTTGCCTATGAACTTTTTTTTTTTGGCTGGGCAATGGGGTTAAATGACTTGCCCAGGGTCACACAGCTAGTAAGTGTTATGTGTCTGAGGCTGGATTCGAACTCAGGTCCTCCTGAATCCAGGGCCGGTGCTCTATCCATTGCACCACCTAGCTGCCCCTGGCCCAAGGTTTTTGAATTTGTCAAGGGCAACAAAGCATTCTCTTACTATCTTAGGTATCAAGTCTCTGTCAGCCATTGTTTTCAGTCATTTCTAATGCAAAGGTCATTTTCTCTGGCAGTGAAATAGAATTGAGCATTTTTGCCTTCTCTCTGTGGTCAGCTGCCATCTCATGTATCTCAAACGTAATGATTCTTTCGTCATTGATGATGAAAATAAATTATTAGAGAAATTCTAGAAAATTGTTCTATTTTAAGAAATGTATTCTTTCTAGGTACTTGCTATCCTCCTGCCAGGTACCTCTATGAATATTCTTGGGATAAAGGCTCATTGGTGTGTTTCAGGTATGTTTGTAGTCGGGTTCTTTTGAGGTATGCCTTACACCAGTTGTCCTGATGTCACTTCTAGTTCTCAAATCCTGCGATTTGGGCCTTATGCCAAACTTTATGACTTACTTTTACTTCTAATATTTTCCACTGTTTTCTAAAGCAGTACTAAATCTTCCACCATTACAGGGTCATAGGATCATAAATTTAAAAGCTGGAAGGGATTTAGAGTTATCTAGGCTAACTCTCTTATTTTGGTGGATGAAGAAACTAAATCTCAAAGAGGTGATCTGACTTGCCCAAGGTCACGTGTTGTTCCGTTACTTCACAAATGATTTTATGTTTTAAGGCAGTATTGTCCTGGGTTGCCATTTCCTTCTGTTTGCCAAGGTGCTCAAATGCTTGCTGACTAAAGCAGTTTCTAGGCTTTTTTGGTCTTTCTCCTTGTGACAACTGTTTCTCCTCAGTTAAATTTTTATATGATATGGTAACAATCAAGGTCAAAATTATTTGTGGCCACACAGGTAATGGGGCAAAGTAAATATTTCACTGAGTTTCAGTAGTTTAAGCTGATGCAGATTAATTCAAATATAAGCTCCCATCTACAACATCCATTCCTTTTTCGCTCTTTCCCTGCCTTTATGTGCAGATACTCAGAATACTTTTGTTATTCTACTGATAACCAACTTATACTATATTCAGAATATTTCTAACTTAAAAAATGCAGAACATACCTTGCTTCCATTTATCTTCAAATACACCTTGTATGTGAGTATGCTGCAATCATCATCATCATCATGATGATAAAAACACACAGGTCCTTTCTCTTCTCCTTCAACAACTGTTAGAGGATGGTCTATATCAATGATAAGTTGGCGATTTTTCTCTTGAACCTTCAGTTTAGGTGGTCCTATTTTTCCTGAAATAAGCAGCAATATTACTTTAGGCATATAAGCTTAATACATTACAATATACATTTATTAAGCAGCTACTATGTATCAGGCATTGTGCTAAGCACTGGGGATAAAAATAATAAAGAACCTTTACCCTCGAGGAACTTACAATCTAATAGGGGAAAACAATACAGTAAAGGAAACTGGAAAGAAGGGAAACGGGACCCACTGCAAAGGCAGCATGTTCTGTGGACCTGAAATCAAGCAGAGCCAGGGTGAGAAAGTAGAGAGTTAGCTGGAAAGTCCAGGTCTCAGCCCACTATAAAAGAAAGCTTTGCAAGGAATATAGTCTCTCCCTTGCCATCTTGGGGTGGGGGGAGGGATGAGATGGGAAGAATATGTGGAACTCAAAATGTTGTGGAAGTGAACACTGAAAACTAAAAATAAATAAATAAAAGAAATTCCTTATGCAATTTAATTCCCTCTCATTCTCAGTGTAGAAAACTTGACCATGATCCTTAACATCATTAAAACGATGAGTTGGTAAGCTGACTTTCAGCTTTGTATTTGGATCTGCAAACCTGGTCTCTTGAGACTTGTCACACTAGAAAATTTTAGGAATCCTTGGCCAATTTAAAAAGCCAAAACAAAAAACCAAACCCTTAATCCTAGCATTAAAAGGAAACTCAGAGGTCATCCAGGACTCATACCTGAGCAGGAATCCCCACTGCAATATCCTTGACAAGTAGTAGTTCCATAACCTGGGCTTGAGGACCTTCAAGAAAAGACAAAGAAGCCCCTACCCCTCTGAAGAGTTCATCCTATTTTGGATAATTCTGTTTTTCTTCCCAGTGAGCTGAACTCTGACCGTCCACAAATTCTGCCTCTTGCTCCTTTGTCTGTTCTCTGAAGCCAAGCAGAGGAAGATGTACTTCCCTTCCAGATTAGAACGTGAGCTCCTGGAAGTGGGGAGCTGGCTTTGCCTTTCTTCATGTTGGCGGGGCTTAGCCCAGTGCCTGGCATGTAAGTGCTTGTTGATGGACTGTCCTCACTTGATCACTCCAAATCTTTACAAACCAGCTGTGTTAATTTAACAACAATGAATAATAATGAGATAATATTTGTTAAGCTCACAGCCCAGTGCCCGACATATACTAGGTGTTATGTAAATACTAGCTGTTATTATAGTCATGTTTATAACAATTAATATTATTACTATAACATTATACATTTAACAACAACTAGCATTTACATAGTACCTACTATGTACCAGGCACTGGGCGAAGTGTTTTACCAACAGTATGTCATTTGATCCTCACAACAACCCTGGGAGAGAAGTGCTATTGTTATATTCACTTACAGCTGAGGAAGCTGAGGCAAACAGGTGAAATGCAAAATCTTGCCCATGTCACCAAGCTAGTAAATGTCTGAGGATGTATCTGAACTCAGGTCTTCTTGTTTCCAGGCCCAGCACTTTATCAACTGTTCCACCAAAATATACCAGTGTTAAAATACAGGACTGATTCATGATCTCATTTTTTATTTTTGCTAATATCAAAAGGTTGTTTGACCTATCAGTAACTTTATTTCCTAGCTATCTAATGCCATAATAATTTAGGGACCACAGATCATCTAAATCCCTTATTTTGCACATTAGGAAATTAAAGCCCAGAAAGGTTAAGAGATCACATAAGTATTAAGTAGCAGAGCCAAAAATTTCTCTTTATTCACTAACTTTCTCTGCCAATAATACCCTTTCTAGTCAAAGGAACTCTTATGGTCAATTCATTTACCTAGAAACTGTTATATTTCTTTTTTTTTTTTGCCACGTATAGTCTACAAACTATTGCCTTTTGAGTGCAAAATGTATTCAATTAAGAATTCTGTGCTTTCGAAGGTTTTCTCTTTTCTAAATCCAGTAAAAAGACACCAAATTGGAGTAATACAGAAAAATAAGTTGGATAGAATGACAAATATGAATTATAGAGTATTTTCCCAAGAAGTACAACTTCAGTACTTGTAAACACACCACATACTCAATTACAAATTAAGATTAAATGAGTACAGTGCAAAATAGGCCAGAATTAAGTAACGACATTTCAGAGAAAAAATCCTCTTTTTCTCAGCTGTCCATCTAGCATTTTTCTTTCTTTTGGATAAGCCCAACAGCTCCAGGAACAGCAGCACCCTACCTCCCTACTCCCCTTCCAGCTGACAACTAACCTTGCTTTCAGTCTGGCCCCAACAGTCATTGTACAAGAGAGCAAATCCCATGGAGAAGAGGACTACTCTGTCTACCAGTTGCTGACCAACTGTCACCAATGGGACAGGCCAGCTAGTCTAGCAGAAGCAGCAAGGTATTGTAAAAGATAGGAGATGACATAGGTCAGGTAGATCAGATGATCTCTACCACCTTCTTCCCTCAAATTCCAGTAGACCAGGATTCAAAGTCCAAGAGCCCTAAGAATTGCAGTGCAACCCACACCAGTACTACTTCTTGTCCAATGAGAATCTCTGTAGAGAAGGAGCCCACCATTCCCACCACCCAACAACCAACTACTACTGATGGGCAGGTAATCCTCAAAGCCCCAGGAAAAGCAGTTTAACACCAATCCCTAAGTCTCTTTTGTTTGTTTGTTTTGGCTAGGCAATGGGGTTAAGTGACTTGCCCAGGGTCACACAGCTAGTTAAGGGTTAGGTGTCTGAGGCTGCATTTGAACTCAGGTCCTCTTGAATTCAGGGCCGGTGCTCTATCCACTGTACCGCCTAGCTGCCCTCTAAAGTCTCTTTTGACTCTCAAGTCCAGCACTCTTGCTATTTTGCCAAGTTTCTGAAAGCTTATTTGGAGTCTTCTCTTCTTTTGTGACAGCAAAGAATATAGGGGAACAACCCATTTGGGAATGTAATCTGTCAATTGCCAGCCATAGTTTCTGAAGACTAAGAAAATAAAGTTCTCACTAAAGTCCTTAGCACTGCCACATAGTTCAAAATTAGATATACATATGGTTTTTATCCAAAGAAATGATATTTTGGAGTTTCAGGAGGCCCCAAAATGTCACTTTTATGGATTAAAAACTGTATCTATTTCTGATGTTGAACAATTTGACAGTGTTTCAACACTTAACATATAAACAACCAATGACATAACTTACAAATAAAAGAAAAATTAAATGAAAGGAGAAATAGACAATAAAACTATAATAATGGCGGGTACCTCAAATTATCCCAAGTAGGACTAGATAAATGTAACAACAACAACAACAACAACAAAAACCTCTAAGAAATAAAGGACTTGAACAGAATTTTAGATAAATTAAAAATATGATAGACTTCTGGCAATTACTGAAATGAAAAAGAAGTATACATATTTTATAACTGAGTATGTGTATAAAAACTGATCATATCTTAGGACATAAAAAGCTTAAAAACAAATGCAAATTGTTAGATCAAAAAACAAATCATATTGTGGTATATGGATGTGATAAAGTATGATTTTGCTTTAAGAAATGAGCAAATAGATGATTTCAAAAGACATGGAAAGATTTTTATGAACAAAACCAAAGGGAAGTGAGCAGAATTTATACTATCACATCAACATTATAAAAATGAAAAATTTTGAGGACTTTCATAAACAGATAAAGAACAAAATAAAACAAACAGAACCAGGAGAAGTTACACAATAACAAACATCCCTGAAAGCTGTAAGTATATGACCAGTAAAATGACCATACCAGATAATCAACCAATATCATACCAGATATCAACCAATGATAAAACATGCTCTCCGTTACAGAAAGGGATAGGATTTAGGGTACAGAATGAAACATACATATTTTTGTGTACAGACATTAGGAGAATTTGTTTTGTTTAAATACACATGTAGTCAATTCTCAAATTTCACAGGGGTAATGTTCCTAGAAAACAGGGAATGCTCTTGGATGAACGAGACCAACGAAGCTCCTAGCTCCACAAACTTGCATGCATCTTGCCTTTCACTTTTTTTTTCTCTACTGCATATAACCATGAATGTGGCTGACTACCAACACAAAAGCGAAAATGAGATTACTAATTAAATCACACGATTGTTTCACGTCTCAAAAGCTAAACATGCAAATGTTGAGAACTATGTTTGTTAAAATAATTTTTTTCTTTTTCTTTTCAATGAGGTGGGGAATGGGAAGAAAAAATGGTTTCACTTGTCTAAATAAATAGGGAGGTGGGACTAATGCAGATGTGAAATGTATTAACTTTCAGATAGGGTTACTGTTTTATTAGTTTCACTTAACCGATTTTATTTATTTTGCTATAAGAGCCCTCTTATCCAGTGAGTGTAATTTATAAATGCACTTAAGGTAAATACAAAACATATCAAAAAACCTCAAAGAGACAAAAAAAGAGGAAATGATATTTCTTCCTCTTTAGAGATACTATCATTTGATTAGCAGCAGAAATTTCTTTGCACATAGTAAGTACTTGGCAATTTTTTTCGATCATTCATTCCCACCCACTAACATATGTACTCTGTCAACCAATATCATACCAGATATCAACCAATTTTTGATAAAACATGCTATCCGTTAAAGAAAGGGATAAGATTTAGGGCGCAGAATGAGACATACCCACTGATCTTTTTGAAGGAATATCTACATAGGTAACTGCCTGACTGTACCTATGTATTCAACATGTGTATGGCTAATGCCACAGCGAGGAGGGTGAACACCCAAACTGAAGTTACTTTAAAAGGCAAGACTTTGGAACTTCGTTGTTTTTAGTTGTTTCCTTATTCTCTGGGGGTAGATAAGGTAGGGCTGGGAGAATGGTATGAAAGCCCCATTTTAGACTATGTTTTTCTAACTTGCAGTCAAGAAATAGTTCAATTTCATAAAGGGCTCGGTTGGAAACTTACTTTTGGTATACTAACTGTGGAGGCTACAAATAATTGAAACTAATTTGGACTCTGCTGCCATCAAAGATGAGAAGAATCTAAATCAGCCTTCAAAAATCTGGTATAACAGTGAAGTGACAGATTTAGGAGTGAGAGGCAGTAATACTTACTAGATGAGTCACTCTTAGCCTCCCTAATCTTCATGTTTCCCAATCTATAAAATGGGGCAAACAGTATCACTGGGCTGTTTTGAGCAAAGAACTTTAAGCACCTTAACATGCTATATAAATTGAGTTATTTATTAACAACATATTAAATCAACTATAACGTAACTTGTTTGGCTGTCAATCAGTACGTAGTGAACTCACCCTGTTCACTTCTCTCCCCTCCCCACCCCATTCCACCTCCTCTCAATATGGAGAAGATTCTTCTAAGAAGGTACCTGTACTAACCTGGTGAAGCTGTTTTCCCTCAGAGCTTTAGAAGCTATTTTTATTTGGAGCGGGAGGGAAGGAGAGCCTGGACATGTAGGGAATAAAGAAGGAAACTAAACATCAACCAAAACCTAAGAATATTTCAATTCGGATATACAGACTTTCTAATTATCGTGTTAAAAGTAAGATTGGTTCTCGTTAGTCTGTAACAGCAGGTCCCCCTAGAAGTAAAAGACCATAAGGGATGGAGAATGGAATGTATAACAATGAGACACTGCTTGATGAATAAATGTATCTATAATGCATACATGGTTACTGAGAGTGTGCAAATTAGAAATCATAGACTGATAAGCCCCTAGGCTTATCCTAATCCTTTATTTTAAGCCATCCAAATGTTGGGGCATTCTCGAAATGTTTTTAAACTTACTGGTAATCAGAAAAGCATTGCCTACATATTTAAATACTACTTCTATCAAGCAATCTTCATGCCATGCTTCCATACCTGTGACCCAGATCGTCAGCTTCCACCAGGGGGACCTGTACTCCTGACTGGTGACAGTTCTCCACAACTAGTGCGACCCAGAACAAAAAGCTGCTGCTCTTCTGCCACTGCTACTCTATACCATCTTGTGCACACCCTTTCCCCACTACCTTCCAACCCTAGCTCTGAATAGCAATCAAAAATCTCTATTACCCTTTATGGAAAGGACATGTCTATCAAATGTCCTATGGCTCTACTCATTATCCTTTTCCAAAATACCCTTTCTGACCACTATTTCTCATTGTGTTGATGTCTCATGTAAACTCTTTCAGACTAGAGGAGGTCTTTATTTTCACATTTGAATCTTCATCACTTAGCACACTGACTGACACATGGCAAGTGCTTAACCAATGCTTTTTTATTCATTCATAAAAATAAAAACACTTGAAAATCTTGAATGTCAAGAAATTTTATCTTTTCACACATTACTCACCATGCTGATACATAAAAAATAATTTAGATTCCACATAGGAAGATTCTTTTTGTCCAATGGTAGCTTTAACTCTGGCCCAGTAATAACTCAATGGCCTTTTAACATGGTCAAATATGTTACAAAAGAGATTGGAAATATTGGTGCACACTTCATTCCACTTCCCTTCTCTGAAAAGGAAAAGAAGGCAACTTGTGATAGGGTATAAACACATCCAAATAATAGTATTAAAAGAGACAACCTCAAAAAGGGAAGAGCTTAAAAGCACTAAAAATTTAATTTCATTAAACCTAATGAAAGTCTAAGATAATATCTAACCAAAGACACAACTATATGTACTTCTAATACCCATATATAATACAAAAATATGTTCCCCAACATCATTAATTAATTTCCATGAAGAAAATTTTAGGTGAAACAGGATTGGTGGGAGGCAGTGAGCACAATATTATAAATAGTAAATGGGTTTATGAGGAGGGTTTCTGAGGGGTGGGGAAAGGCAGCAAAGGGTCAGAGGAGAGCCCAGGGCTGTACACCTATTGAGGGGCTGCAAACTTGAGGTGGCTACATTAACAGGAAAGGCTGTAGATCCTCTAGATAATCCTGGGAAAAACACAGGGAATGGAGTGGTATAGGAGCTTCTGCTAAAGAACTACCTCTAGTAATGCAGACTGGCCTCTACTCTGTGACTTAAAGAGTCTGAGAGAGTGGCTTATAACAGAGGTGTTCAATTTCTGGCCCAGGCAAAACTCCACAGCCACGTTCAAATGTAATTGGGAAATGTTTAACAAAACAAAAGGATCCCTGGATGGCTGCATTTACAAAAACAAACAAAACAGTAACACTTACTTATAGTCCTTTAACTCCACAGTGAAAGTAGGAGTCTGAGATGTTCTCTGGTAATTCCAAGATACTTGAGGATTCAAATTGTAAGATGTTATTTCAACATTAGTTGGTGTAGATACTGTAAGAGATTCAGATATTTTAAATGTAAATTTTAAGAAACTAACACAATAATTAGCAAAATAAACATAGTAGACAGTAACAACTTTAGAAAATTTTATATTTTGTTCTTAATCTGTATAAAATAATTCTCATTTATATTATATCTGAGGTCATCATGGAAGGATAATTCTTAATTCCACATGATGATTTATAATCACGAGCCTGGTGACAATCTGAACTAATTAAATGCAGAAGTCATACATCAATAAGATATTTTTAGTATATGAAGCAATACATAATGAAACCAGCAGAATCAAGAGATCATATATTTAGGGCTGGAAGAAATGTAAGAGGTCATATAGCTAGCTGTCCTTTTACAGATGAGGAAATGGAGATGTTGAAAATTCACTAAATACTATTCCTAAAATCATTTTGTTACCCATTATTTACAATCTTCGGCGTATGGCTAGAGAGCAGCTCATATGAACATGACTCAAACTATAAGCTCAAAAAGGGGTCAACATTGGGCCATGGCAGCCATAAATTAAAGTAATTAATAGAAGTATAGAGTCTAAGAATGAGGAGCTGATGTAACCTGCTTTGGCTAGACCACATCTGGAACGATCTAGGGCACTACATTTCAGAAGGGATAATGATAAAATGGTATATGCCCATCTAGATAAAAGTGACCAGGATGCTTTATTAGATTTTTCAGGATGATAAGGGAACTCAAAACTGTAACATAGGAGAATTAGTTCCAGAAATTCCAGGGTAAACAACCCTAGAAGACTTTAAGGGAATATGGTTTTGGCCTCCAAATATTTGAAGGATTATTATTCAGGAGAAGAACTGACATTCTTCATCTGTAAAATTATGAAACTGTTCTAAATTATTCCTAAGGTCCTTTCCATTTTATGATTTTAGTTTATATTTTAATAATGTCGTACATATTAACTTGTATGGGACAAGATCTCATTAGTACAGGCAAGAAGTTTTCTCAGGTCCCTTGTCTCTCCACTTAGTCAACTAACAAATTCTGCAAGATCTGAAGATGGATAAGCTCTAAACCAATTATGGAAACAGATTTCCACAAGTCATGCTATGAAAGGAGAAAAAGAACTAAAGGGAAAAGCTACAAGATAAACAAAAAAGTGACAATAACATGCTTCGATCTGCATTCAGAATCCATAGTTCTTTCTCCACATGTGGATAGCATTTTCATCATAAGTCTTTTAGAACTATCTCAGATCTCTGTGTACAGCTGAGAAGGGCTAAGTTAATCATAGCTGATCATCACACAGTGTTACTTTTACTGGGTATAATGTTCTCCTGGTTCTGCTCACTTTACGCAGCATCAATTCATGTAAATCCTTATACCACTTAAACTTTATGAGGCCCCTTATTAGTTGTTGGTGCCCTCCATCTTGGACTGGTAGAAAAAATGGACTGGGAATTCTGAGTCTTGGCTTCTGGTTCTAGTCATGCTACTATACTACCTATTTATTGTAACCTTACATAAGTCACTTACTATGATACTACGATCTTTGGTTCTTGAAGAAGATACCTTACAGTAAATTAGAAAGCAAATAATCTTCCTAGTTTTAGTTCTGCCCCATGCAGCTCTTTTGGCTATCTTATTCTTTCTAACAAGACCCACTGATTCTATCTCATCTATTTTCTTTGTTGCTCAAATTTTTGTGTTTTGTCCATAATCTGTATGTGTTTACGCAGGCTGAGGCAGAGATATGAACCATTTCTTTTTCTGGGTTCAATTTATGTCTATGCAGGTTTTAGGATGAGTAAAAGAAGCTTGAATAAATGAAAAATATTATTAAATGAACACTTCACTAAGTGCTGGGAACAAAAAGAAAATCTTGACCTCAAGAAGTTTAATTCTAATAAGGGGAGACAATATATGTGGGGGAATCATGGCCAAGGAAGATGGTAGGTGGAGTCAAAAGGGTAACTGATTGACGTGTTCTTTCCAGAAGCAATGGTAAGCACTATTCCTAGAGCAATGGTGAAAGGGAAGGAGCATGTCAGAAAGGAGAAACACGGTTAGGCAGATGGAGGTGGCTAGCTGTAGCGAACTGTGACCAATGTGCATTACTCTAAGGCAGGTAATGGGAGGGTGAAGCTGTAATCTCTCAGATGGCATTGAAACGGGGGAGACTGCATATGGAGGAAGGTGCTAAGGCTGGGTACATGTAAATCTTATTCAAAAGCACATTCTGAGTTACTGAATATGTGTACATAAATGCTAAATACACTATAGAAATTAAATGAGATATTTTTAGAAGTTAAAACAATGAAATGGAAAAGAGAACAATTTTATCAAAAAAAGACACATTAAGCTTCATCTATTAACCACAAAGGTTTTATGATGAGTAACAACATTCAGGGTGTGGGGAAAAAAGTGGCTGCTGTGGTTTATCTGCAAAAAAAATTTAAGGGAGGGGTCACATTTCAGTGATCAGAAATCTAAGTTACATATAGCTAACAATTCTGATTCAAGTCAATCACAATCATTCCTGACATATTTTACAGTTTTCTCTTTATACTTTATAGGCTAGTCAAAGTGACCTGCTTGTTTTTTCCTGAACTCAAATTACATTTCCTATCATCATAATTTTGTATAGTCTAACATATCTACAATATGCTCCCTCACATTTACCCCTTAGAAACTTTAGATTCCTTCAAGTCTCAAATAAGGTTTTACCTCTTGTTGAATTAGTGAATAAAATACTGGACGTGGATTCAGGAAGACCTGTGTTCAAATCCAACCTCTGATACTCACTAAGCTGTGCAATCCTAGGCAAGTCACTTAATCTCTCTGAAATACAGTTCCATTATCTATGAAGTAGGACCAACAGTGCTCTCTAAGAGATGTGAAAATCTCAAAATCATAGATGTGAAGTGCATATAAAAGTGAGCAATTATTATTACTACAATTACAGGTAATCTTCCCTAATTCCACAACTTACTAGTACACTCCTTCCATCCTTGAATTACATCACTTCTATGTTTAAATGTTGCACTTCCTACTCCATCCCTTGAAACACTCTATCCCCTTAGTATTATTCACCCATACTCTAGCTTAGCCATCAAATTCTAGTTTCTATTAAGCATTTTACATATTATGCTTTATTACAGAGAAATGTTATTACAATGAAAAGCTGGAAAAGTAGCTGAAGTAATCAAGACTACCTAGAGGGCTATCTATCCCTAGAGAGATCAATTCTTAAGATACTCTGATGAAAAGATAAGAAAGGCTTGAGGAAAAAAAAATCACTCACCTCTTTATTACCAAATAAAGTAGCCAAGAAAATATCAACTGCCAAACCAAACTCCCATTATTATCATTACATCAAAGTCAACTAATATCCACCCTCTTTATGCATACTCCTTTAACTAGGTGTAATAACAATACAGTTCTCAAGGGTTGCAAGTCTCATATTCCCTTGTAGGGGTTTAAACACCCCCCCCCTTATTAACAACATATTGTATCCTTCTGTCCCATTTACCTTTTTAAGTCCTTCTTGAGTCCTGTACTTGAAGATCAAATTTTTTGTTGAGCTCTGGTCTTTTTATCAGGAAAGTTTGGAAGTCTCCTGTTTCTTTGAATATCCACCTCCTCCCTTGAAAAATGATGCTCATTTTTTCTGGGTAATTGATCCTTGGCTGCATTCCAAGCTCCTTTGCCTTACGGAATATCATGTTCCATGCCCTGCGGTCTTTTAAAGTAGAAGCTGCAAGGTCCTGTGTAATCCTGACTGTGGCTCCATGATATTTAAATTCTTTCTTTCTGGCAGCTTGCAGCACCTTCTCTTTCATCTGGTAATTTTGGAATTTTGCTATTTTTCTTGGCGTTGTCAATTTGGGATCTCTTTCAGGTGGTGATCGGTGGATTCTTTCTATGGTTATTTTCCCTTCTGGTTCTAGGACTTCTGGGCAGTTTTCGTGTATGATTTCCTGATAGATACTGTCCAGGCTCTTTTTTTCATCATGATTTTCAGGTAGTCCAGTAATTTTTAAATTGTCTCTCCTGAGTAGATTTTCCAGGTCGGTTGTTTTACTGATGAGGTATTTTACATTTTCATCGATTTTTTCATTTTTTTGTTTCTGTTTGACTGAGTCTTGCTCTCTTATAGAGACATTAGTTTCCATTTGTCCAATTCTAGTTTTTAACAGATTGTTTTCTTCTGTTAGTTTTTGTACTTCCTTCTTCAACTGGCCAATTGTTTTTTTTAGGGACTTGTTTCCTTCAGCATACTCTTCTGTTAGATTTTGTACTTCCTTCTTCAACTGGCCAATTGTGTTTTTTAGGGACTTGTTTTCTTCAGTGTACTCTTCTGTTAGTTTTTGTCCTTCCTTCTTCAATTGGCCAATTGTGTTTTTTAGGGACTTGTTTTCTTCAGTGTATTTTTTTTCCAACTGGCCAATTATTTTTGAAGGACTCTTTTACCTCTCTCATTTGACTATTAAAATCCTTCTTGAGCTCTTCTAAGAAGGCTTTTTGGGCTTCAGACCAGTTCATATTCCCTTTGTTGTTGCAGATGTGGTTTGTTGACAATGTTGTCCTCTTCAGAATTTCTGTCTTGATCTTCACTCTTCTCATAATATGAATCTATGGTACGTTTCTTTTTACTCATGGTGTTTCTTTATTCCCTGGCCTTTAAAGAGATTGAGCTCTCCTGCTGGGGCACAGAGGGTACTGACCCAAGCTTCTTGTGTTGGGAGCCTAGGTCTTGGTCACTGGCTTTGCGTTCTGGGGCCTCTTATGCTGGGAATTGGAGGCTGTAGGTTTCTGGCAGCTTACCTTGTATTGGGCTGGAATCAGCAAGGCTGGAACTTTCAGGCAATTCTAGCTTGTCTGCTTTTCCTTTCCTTTAGCTTTCTTCTGCTCCTTTTAGATGGCTGCTGCAGGATGTTTATCTGCCTGGGGCCCCCTGCAGTGCTGTCTCCCTCCTTTCTGCTAATGCACCAGGAGATTCCTTTGCAGTGGATTGCCAAGACTCCTGGTGGTTTTCTGAGCTTGTTTCCACCGGTTCCCCCTGCCCTCACTGAGGCACTCGGAGGTCCAGGTGTTGGTGTTTGCCTGCTCTACCACCTGGGCTTCAGGATCTCTTCACAATTGGGGGCTTCAGGGCTCCTACAGCTCACCTGGTGTTGGGTTGGAATCAGCAAGGTCAGGGCTTTAGGAAGCCTTTAGGTTGTTTTCTTCACCTCCTTTCAGATGAATGCTGCAGGGTACTTATCGGCCTGGGGCCCCTTGTTTTTGCTGAGGCACTGGGAGACCTGTTTACTGCACTGCTGCTCCTTGTCTTTCTTCCAGTTCAGGTGTTCCAGGGTTTTTTTTTTTTCTGGGGTGATATTTTCTGGGTTTTCAAAGGTTGATAGGGGAGAGTGAGAACAACTACCTTTTCACTCCGCCATCTTGGCTCCCGGAAGTGGAACCCAAAGAAAAATTTTTGAAAGCAAACTTAAGATATCTTCCAGGGCAGAAGAATGTGCTATAGACAAAAGGAGATAAGCTCACAGAGCTATGGGGGGGAAAAGAAGGCTAGTATAATAAATATGGGTCTAATGAATGAGTCATAGAATAGAGGAAATAATATTTGACTCTCTGGGTGCTACCTACAGTAGAGTTACAAATTAGGAATAGAGCCACTAGGTGCCAATAGTACACAAAACACAACCACACCTCCACTTCATCTCAGCTAAAGAGATAGTCATACCCTTGATCTTGCCATGTTTCATAAGAATGCCACTTCCTTATTAAAAAACTCAAATTCTTTCTTAAAATAGATTTTATTGATCTTTATTTTTCATATTGCCTAGATTTTCCCCATCTTTACCCTCCTCTAAAAGCAATCATCAAAAAATTTTAAAAGATTTTAAAAAATCACCAAAGCTAATCAATTATGTCTAAAAAAATCTGACATTACGTGAAATATTCCACAAAGGTGGACACCCTAACTTCCAAAAAGGAACTATGCTAAATGGATCCACTATAAATCTGTTATTTAATTTCAACTGGGCCTTCAGTACCTTAAGGCAATGCAATTCCTTATGTCTCACCCCAGCTGCTCTTCCAAATCACTTCCTTTCCTCTTTCAGTCTTCCCTAGCACTCCCTCCCACTATTCTGTTGAGTATTTTTGTGTGGAATGTACTAAGAATAGGCTATTTGCTGCACAAGCTCCCTCTTCTCATCTCATCATTCCCATTTTCCACCAGTCTGCGACTTGTTCACTTCTGCGTGTTGTCTCTTTCCAATAGATTGGAAAATCCTTGAGAGAAGAGACTGTCTTTCATCTGATCAACTGTATCCCCACTGTTTAATTCAGTAGCTGGCACACAGAAGCAGGTTAATAAATATTTATTAGATGGGAATTTTCTAAATACAACATTTCACATATAGGTCCTCCTTCTATCCACTCACAGCCACTACTCCCAGTTGGGGCTTTATTATCTCTTTCTAGCTTGTTGTTCAGTTGTTTCAGTCACGTCCAACTCTGTGACCCTATTTGGAGTTTTCTTGGCAAAGATACTGGAATGGTCTGCCATTTCCTTCAGCTCATTTTATAGATAAGGAACTGGTTAAGTGACTTATCCAGGGTCACACAGCTAGTAAGGCACAGGCCACATACAAACTTAGGTCCTCCTGACTCCAAACCTGGTTCACCATCCACCAGTGGTACCAGCTAGCTGCTCCAAATATATATTTATTGTTTTTCTTATTATCACCATAGAGATCGTACATTTTATGTAAACATATAAAATACATTTATGTAATGCTTGTCTTCCATATTAAAATGTAAACTCCTTGAGGTCAGGTGCTGTTTTTTCACTTTTTCTTTGTATCCCCAGCATTTATCAGAGTTCTAGGGACACACAGTAGCATAGCACATAGTAGGCTTACTACCACTCTTTCTTGACTGATGTGTTAGTTTTGCACATCAAACAGCACCTAAGAAATAATTTTCCTTATTTGATTAACCAATCTCTCCTCTCCCCTCCCCTCTTCTCCCTTTGTCCACATAGGGTATAATACCCTTACCTACTGATCCTCTGCCCAAAGGCATGTAAATTTTGATCACTGAGACCCTGAAAGATATCTTAGGGCATATGGGCTAGACTTCTTTCTTAAGGACTATGCCTTAAACTCAAATCACTCTGACTACCCAATAAACATTTACTGAATAATTATTTGCACAGGAATGTGCTGCCCTCTTAACTAAATATAAAATCAGTTCTTTCCACCAAGCTAATCCAACAGACTACATTCTAACACAGTCTTTCATATCTCCCTACAGTTCAACAAGTTTCCTTCCTTCACGATTGCTATCCAGGATCACAGATTTCCAGCTGGAAAGGACCTTGGAAATTATCTAGTCTAATCTCCTCCTTTTACTGATGATAACGAGGCCCAGACGGATTAAATAAACGGCTTGGATAAAGTCTCAAAGGTAGTAAGTGGCAGAGGCAGAATTTGTACTTGAGTGCTCTGAGTTTAAGTTCAATATTCTTTGCACTCGCCCAGGCACTTCCTCCTTCACTAGTGGCAGGACTATGAAGTTCACGAACAACCGGATCCTCCCAAAAGCTTTCTCCATTCCCCTACCACTGGTAAGAATGAGAGAACAAATCAACCAAAGTCCATCTAAAAGCCTCCAAAATACCCCAAGAAAAATCACAAGGATTCTTGGCTCCTCAGAATACTTTTTACCTAAAAGCACAATATTTCCTACTCCTCCCTCCATCTGAAGACTTTTAGCTTTAAAGGTAAACTAATCACCTTTCAAATGATTATAACAATTTCATCTCTAGTTCCCAAGTCTCACATTTTGGAAAAGTAAAAGTGATGATGGAAATCACAGCACAGAACGGAAAAGAAAGAGGAGACACAAGAGAAAAACTTCTGACTTGTCAAAGGAGGAAGATGTTAGAGCTTTCACTAGTTTGGAGAGTCAATCCCATTCTTAACTTCTCGTAATCAAGACTGTACAATAATCAATCAAAAAATCTGAAGCATCCATTCTCCAAGAAAATAGCTGTAAGCTGTAACAATGCGAAACAACGCAATGCAACAAATCAGAATCCATAACTTCAGAAAATTATAAACGTATACTTGAGAAAAATAAGAAAAAACCTTTTTGTCACAGTACTCAAATCTTCCAGTGAAGTACGTACAATTGAAAGGGTGAAGACGCCTAATGACTCCAAAGATTCCAATACACACATACACACTACAACTTAAGTGCGTTAGTAAAAAAGGGTCGAGGGCACCGATAATTTCCATGGGTAAAAGCATCCACTACAATTAATGATAATCCTTACTGACTAAAGAAAGGAAAAACACTCAGGGCTTCCTTTTGGCCATTTCTGGGCAGACTGGTTAAACTGTCCTCCACTTTAAAAGAAATTCCAGTGTAAGTTGTAACAGTGCAACTTGTAACAGAAAAACCTTCCCAAGACCTCCCCTCCAAAAGGATACCGTACAAAATCTAGCGGGGGGATGGATATGTGTGTGTGTGTGTAGGGTTTAGGGGTGTGTGTGGACAGGGCGTAGGTTGGGACCTATAAACAAAAATGGGAGGCAAATGACTTCCTCAACGGGGTCCGGGGCCGTTTTCGCTGTCAGGCGGGGTCTACCCTGGCCCCACTCTCTTTCTCTCCCTCCCCCTCCTGCCCCTTACTACTTTCTCCCACAGGGACACAGAAGCCACAAAGTGAGATGGTGTGACTCGTAGCCAAAGAGCTGGGAAATTCCAGTCTCCAAGAAGGGATCCCTAGATGCCAAGGGTAGATTAGGAACGAAGAGCGGAGGCGGTTTCCCCAGCCCCCTGGGGAGACAGCCGGACACCGCCCCGCCCGCTCGGCCACACCCAACGGCCAACCCCAAGACCCCTACCTATGGACGCGGCGGGTTCCAGGGTCGGGGTCTCAGCCCAGCTCCAATAGATAAAGACAAAGAGGAGAAGGAGGCGGAGGTCTACCCCGGAGGCCCGGGGCAGCCCGGGACTCATCCCTCCTCTCCCCTCCCTGCTGGACCCAGTCTGGGTCTCGGTTGCGCCCCTGCGCCGGCTGGTTCCCAGAGGAGGGCGCTAACCGCGGCGGGAATGGGTTTCCCCGACTGAGCTCTACAATGCAAACCACCAACCCCAGCCCACGAGGCCTCGCACACGTCACTTCCTGTCCCTTGCGGATTGGTGTCCCTGAGAAGGCGGGCGTGGGGAGGAATGGAGTGGGCCATCTGATCCGACCTCCTCCCCCTCCCTGTTCCCCTCCTCCTCCTGCTCCCCCTCCTCCTCTCCCTCCCTCTCCTCCTCCCCCTCCCTCTCCTCCTCCTCCTCCTCCTCCTCCTCCTCCGGTAACTGCGGTCCCTAGTGAAACGTCTCCGCCCCCGGCCCCGCCTCCTCCAGTGGGCGTGGCGGCCGCGGCAGCAACCGTGATTCCGACCGCCCCCACCTCAGCCTGAACCCAGCCCTCTTCTCCGACTTGGTCGTCGCCCTTACGCGGTTAACCACGTGAGAAAGACCTCGGTCTTTGCTTGGCCCCGCCCCTTTCCTCTTATCTCCGCACTTGTCGCCTCGCCCCAGCCTTTCTTAGCGGTGTCTTCATCACACCTAAACCGCAGGCACTGAAGGCGTTCTTCTGAGTCTTCCTGGGGCTAGAGTCTCGGGCCGCCGCACCGAGAAAGCAGATTCCTGGGCAGACTTGCCAGGCAGGTCGGCTTGTGCCAGAGCTACCTAGGTGTTGAGGAATAGTAGGCACCGTCTCAGCCTCAGTTTCCTATAATTCAAGATTGACGGAAAGCCCAGTGGAGTTTATTTATCTCAGACAACAGGCAGCATATGCAAAATAATGATAGCTAGTCCGTACATACAGATTTAAGGTTTGCCAGAGGATTTATATTTGTATCTTTTGGGCAGAGCAGGTTTGCAAAGCGATCTATATAGGATAATAAGCTAGCTGGTTCTATAACTGAGGTTTGCAAAGCGATTACATAAAAATAGCATTTATATGTGCTTTAAGGTTTGCAAAGTGATTGATACATATGATAATCGGCAAACATCTATTAAGGGCCTACTGTATGCCAGGCACAGGACTAAACACACTAATAGTTCCTGTTTATATAGTCTTTTAAGGTTTGCAAAGTGATCTACATAGATTAATAATAATAGCTAGTGTTTTTTTTATATAACACATTAAGGTTTGGAAAGCATTTATATATAGGATAAGAATCAACATTTATTAAGTGCCTACTATGTACCAGGTGTCGTGCTAAGCTCTCGAAATACAGAAAGAAGCAAAAGATAGTGCCTGTCTTCAGAGAGCTTATACTCTAATGGAGGAATCAACGTTCTGAACAGATACATACAAAGCAGGCTGTATAAAGGTGTCATCCTTTGCTGAGTTGTTCTTAGACAAACGGAATTAGGCTGCACTATGAGTGTTTATTTCTCTCAAAGCTTGTGGAACGTGCATATAGACAGAGGCATGGGAGCTCATCATAAGGCGATGAACCCAAGGAGGGACACACAAGATTTTTATGTGTTCAGAGCAATTCCTTGTCACGCCCCCTTCCCTTCCTGGCTCAGGATGCCTATGTCAGCCAAAATTATGGTCTCCAAATGCTTAACCATGATATGAGAAAGGAATTTCTTAAGTGAATAGATTGTAAATACAATAAAATAGAAGTGTCAAAGTGTCGGTTGAAATTATAGATCCCGTATATCTGTTTTCTTTTACCATTAAAATTGCATAAATAACATGACATAGCATATGTCCATAAAATACCAAGATAAGAAAAGTCACATTAGTCTGGGTCAAAGCACCTTAGTGGTCATAAACAGAAGAATTCTCTTGGTCAGGTTCAGCTGTTGACACAGGAAGGGGCATTTTGGGTTCACTTACGAAATAATGCAATGCATGTCCAGAACAGCAAAGCATTATGGTAGATTAAGCCCAGAATGGGCCAAAATGTCTCTCCTGATTGGCCGATCCAGGTTTTAAGCCTTTCTCAGGTGTTGGGGTTCAAAATGGTTTGAGGAGGGGGTCTACAAAAGATAAATAATAAATCAGCAAGTATTCATATATAGTATTGCTTTAAAGTTTGCAGAGCACTCTATATATTATCTTTTTTGATCTTTACAACAACTCTCTGATGTAGGTGCTGTGACTATCTGCATTTCACAGATGAGGAAACTGAAATTCAAAGAAGTTAAGTGACTTGCCCAGGGTCACAGAGCTACTAATTGTCAGAGGGAGGATTTTAACTCTGCTCTTCCTGACTCCAGGTCAAGCATTCTAGCTATTGTGCCACTTAGTTGTCTCTATTTTGTGAGACTGTAGAGAATGGAGAGATGTGTAGATGGGAGAAGGTTGTCTTATTTACTTTATGATATTTAAATGCTGGGGCATATAGGTGGCTTAGTGGTTAGAGTGTAGGCCCTGGAGTCAGGAAGACTCATTTTCCTGAGTTCAAATCTAGCCTCAGACACTTGTGACCCTGGGCAAGTCACTTCACTCTGTTTTCCTTAGTTTACTCATCTGTAAAATGAGCTGGAGAAGGAAATGCCAAACTGCTCCAGTATCTTTGCCAAGAAAACTAAATGAGATCATGAAGAGTCAGACACGACTGAAAAAAATAACTGGAGACCACCATCACCACATAGGAGATAATGCAGTGCAGTTTTTGTAAATTTATAAATTAAGCAATAAAGAATACAATAATTTTAGGTGTTTTTTTTTTAGTAGTCCTGACAGTTGCTTAACGCTCCAACCAGCTAAGGGAATCTTGGAAAGGCATCTTGTGAGAGGTGGCATTTGAACTGAACTTGGGTGAGGTGGGTGGAAGGGAGTCTGAATTCAAAGAAGAAAAGGTGAGGAATGTGTTTATGATCCAGAAAGTAGATCAGTTTGGCTAAAATTTAGAATGTGGCAAGAATGATGTGCAGTAAGCCTGGAAAGGTAGCCAGACAGCAAAGTGCATTAAAAGTCAAATAGAAGAGACATATTTTATACTAGAGAAAATAGGGAGCCAATGAAGTTTTTTCATCACAGAAGTGAAAGGCTTAATCTAATGCTTTAGAAATACTACTTTGGAAGCTGTATGGAGGGTGGATTGAATTGCAATCTCACCAGTAAAGTCTTCCTTTTAACGGCTGCTCCTGGCTACCTGTAGCCAACCAGGGGCAGATTGACACGTGGAATTACTGCCACCACTAGGTCTTTACAACTCTGTCACTGACCCTAATTAGAAGTTGGGAGTGTGTAATGCTCATACTCCAAAGGAAAATAAAAACAGCTTAAAGGGGGAAGCTCGGTGGCACAGTGAATAGAGCACAGGCCCTCAGACACTAGACACTTACTAGCTGTGGGCCCCTGGGCAAGTCACTTACCCCCATTGCCTAGCAAAAATAAAAAACAACAACAACAACAACAACCAACGAAACAAACAAACAAAAACAGCTTAAGACCCCAATTCAAGACCAGAGAAACAGCTGGAGAAACAGCTGGGCGGTGGAGCAAGAGCAACTCAAAACTAAACAGGGCTGATTAATCTCACTGACCTTTTTCTAGCTTCCCAGAGAACACAGCATTTAAATAACTGTTCTTGTTACCACTTGGAGGGGCTGCTGGAAAATGTAGTACTGAGTTTAAATTTACCCAAGTACTTGGAGTATGCTGAGTAAGAACAGTAACAGTTTGACCACTTGGAGAGGCTTTTCAATAAGTCCCTATCTTGGCATGCTCTCTACCAGCTTTCTCCAATCAAGTCAGAGGGCAATGAGTCTCTCTGCCTTTGACCTAACAGTTAAAATTCTGCTGCGCTGCTGACGTGGACTTTACTCACTTCTTATGAGTCTTGTGTTGTTATAACTGGTCTGGTTGTTTGAAGCCACCCTTTCTCACTCTCCCCACCCACAATCTTTGTGCTGTCTGATCCTTCAAACACTGAACCCAGTTAGTTTTATTTATTTTTTTTGACCTTTTTTTCCAAGGCTTCTTTCTGACGTGAAGGGGCTGGGTACACTTCACTCTTCTTGTCTCTTGCCCCCACCTAGGGGGATGCTGGGGAACTTGAGCATTTGGCACACACGCTTTAGTTACCCTATCAGTTCCTGTTACAAGGACTTAAACTAACAAGGCTTCAAGAGAGAGTGATTTTATTTACAAAAGAAAGACAGAAAAAGTTCACATGTAAGCTTAGTGAGTCAAGAGACACCCCCTCCCTCCACCTACCTGTCTGCTCAGGATCCTTATGACTTAGAGTAATAGCTTTGGTGAGACCCCAACAAAGTCAGAGATTGGGCTTCACTTCATCACTTCAGTGCATTGAACAATGTTGATTTTTCATCAGAAGCTGTCCTTGTTTGAGTCTCTGTTTCTTTTTTTTAAGTTTTATTTGTTTTTAGTTTTCAGCATTCACTTTTATTAGATTTTGAGTTCTAAATTTTCTCCCCCTCCCTCTGCTCTTCCCTGCCCATGATAGCATGCAATCTGACACAGGCTATACATACATAATCATATTACACATATTTCCACATTAGTCATGTTGTAAAGAAGAATTAGAACCAAAGGGAAAAAACCATGAGAAAGAAGAAACCTAAGAAGAAAAAAAGAGAGAGAGAAAATAGTATGCTTCAATATGCATTCAGACTCCATAGTTCTTTCTCTAGATTTGGACAGCATTTTCTATCATGAGTGTTTTGGAATTATATTAGATCCTTGTATTGCTGAGAAGAGTTAAGTCTATCAAAGTTGGTCATTGCACAATGTTGCTGTTACTGTGTATAATATTTTCCTGTTTTTGCTCACTTCACTCAGCATCAGTTCATGTAAGTCTTTCCAGATTTTTCTGAAGTCCACTTGCTCATCATTTCTTATATAACAATAGTATTCCATTACATTCATATACCACAACTTGTTAAGCCATTCCACAGTTGGTGGGCATCTTTTCAATTTCCAATTCTTGGCCACCACAAAAAGATCTGCAATAAATATTTTTGTACATGTGGGTCCTTTTCCTATTTTTATGATCTCTTTGGGATACAATCCTAGAAATGTTATTGCTGGGTCAAAGGGTATGCACAATTTTATAGCCCTTTGGGCATAGTTCCAAATTGCTCTCCAAAATGGTTGGGTCAGTTCACAACTCCACCAACAATGCATTAGTGT